AGTAGTAGTAGTAGTAGTAGTGATAGTAGTAGTAGTAGTAGTAGTAGTAGTAGTAGCAGTAGTAGTAGTAGTAGTAGTAGTAGCAGTAGAAGTAGTACTAGTAGTAGTAGTAGTAGTATTAATAGTAGTAGTAATAGTAGTAGTAGTAATAGTAGTAGTGATAGTAATAATAGTAACAATAACAATGACAATATTAATGGTAATAATAACAATAATAGTAATGATACTACTGATGGTAGTGTTAATAGTAACAACAGCAACAGTAATAATAGTAATAATAATAGTAATAATAGTAATAATAATAGTAATAATAGTAATGATAATAATCTTTATTGATTAGAATACTATTGATCAATTGATTCAATATAATCAATATAAACAATTGATCTGAAATTATTATTATTTTTTGAAAATGTGACATACAAAGTTGATGCGTTTTAGGGATATCAGTTTCTTTTTTAATAATAATAATGATTAGGCCATAACGTTTCTAAGAATACAATGTTATATCCGAGCGGAGATTGAATTATGGGTAGCTCTTCTGAGAGCTATGAATGGACTAATATTATCTATATATTCAGTAAGTAGATTATGTATATCTATATTCCTCTTATTACAAGCTTCATTTTGTCCTATATGTTGTGTTTTTATGGCCCGCTAGTTATAATGTAATTTATTCATCAATCGATTACTCGTCTGATCCGTTCAGCTGAGTTCAAAATGCCAACAACAGCTTCCACTATAAAAATCATTTATTTCAGACATCCTGGGTTTATATACCAGACAAACAAACCGCAAGGCAGCATAAAATAGAAAATAACACTCGTACAAAATATAGCCGAAAGTGGCTGTGAACGTGGGAGGCAGTAGTCAATAAACTGAGGTGGATAACTGTCTCCATTCAACTTGTGTTGAACTACACTAGTCAAGGGACTGTGGATGCGCACTACTGAGGAGTCCTACACTAGGACGAAGTGACCATCCAATACTTCCAGGTTTTCAATGGTAGTCTAGCTTAGATCGACTCATGAATTCAACTATTAACATATTAGACGATAGGTGAGCTAAAAATCTTTCACATATCTGAGCAGCATCATCGATGAACAAGAAGGATCTAACGCACAAGTAAACGTAAGAATCGGCAAATCAAGGACAGTAGTCCTACAGTTAAACAGCATATGCAACTCAAAACAACTGTCTGTCAATCAACATCAAAGTCACAATCTTCAATACCAACGTCAAGACAATTAGTCCTACTGTACGGAGCTGAAACGTGGAGAACTGCTACAACCATCATCAAAAAGGTACATGTGTTTATAAACAGTTGTCTATGTAAGATACGCAGTGTCCGTTGACAGGAAACCATCAGCAACAGCTTAATGTGGAAGAGAACAAACCTGCTTCCAGCTGAGGAGAAAATTAGGAAAAGACGTTGGAGGTGGATAGGACAAACATCAGAGAAATCATCAAACTGCATCACAAGTCAATCTCTAATTTCGAGTCCTGAAGGGGAATGGAAAAGCGGTAGATCAAAGAACACATAGTGTCAGGAATTGGAAGCAGATATCAAAAGAATGAATAACGACTGGAAAGAACTGAAAATGATTGTTCAAGACAAAGTAGGTTGGAGAGTGCTGGTAAGAGGTCTATGCTGCTCCATCAGGGGTAATAGGCGTAAATATTGCTACTACTAAGCTAAGTATCTGTCTGTCGGCTCTCAGTGTCACATCACATCTTAGTCTCACTAACCACATATTACATATTCATCAAAGTTAATAAATCATATCTTTTAAAACTTTCTCAAATAAATTATTGTATAGTAAACAACTGTTGGATATTAGGTTGAAACACCCTAAAACAATAATAAACCATGACTTTACATGATATAACATACAAGACCTATATGCCTGTACTAATCTAAGGATTATTACTTTAGACTATTGAGTTTCAAAATACAATGATCTACGTATCATAACGTCAATCAACTTGTATGTTATAGGACCATAATAATACAATACCATTTAACCCGGATAAATTTCGTCAGCAACGATTTTAATTGAGACCATGAACTGACTGATGTTAGACCACCATTGAAAAACTAGAAACGCTGGACGGTCGTTTCGTCCTATTGTGGGACTCCCCCGCAGTGTGCATCCACGATCCCGCTTGCGGGATTCGAACCTCATGTGTTCACTAGTGACTAGATTCGTAAGGGAATTGTCGGAGTTCTAATGAGAAGCCGTGACTTGTGGAGCTAGTCCGTGTCAGGTAGAGACAGGTATCTACCTCAGTACAATAGAAGATGGTCGCGTAATTTTGTGGACTGATTGAAATGAGACATTAACACAGTTGAATACCGGTTCAGTGGTCTATAGATTAAGCGTTCGCACGCGAGTCCAATAGGATCTGGGTTCGAATCTTGTGAGGCGGGATCGAGGATGCGCACTGCTGAGGAGTCCCACAATAGAACGAAACCGCAGTCCAATGCTTCCAAGTTTTCAATGGTGGTCTAGTATCAATCGGTTCATGATAATCAAAAACTTAATAATCTTCACAACCTTATACTGATAGTAACGATTTTAACCATAAGAATCCTATGTAGGTTATCGGTACATTTTCCAATGAACACAAAATATAAGAAAATCATTTTTGGTACTTTTTTAGTTTCTAACCATTTCTAAACTAATATCAATGATGATTGAGGTACAGTATCTTCAAAGTTAATTCGTCAATTTAGTTAATAAAGTGTAAATTCAAGATCATAAGTTGTATTGGTCTGCTCAAATTGAACAACGTAATTCTAACAACAATTTATCAATAATAAAAACATGTTAATTAGGTGATTTACTCAGTTATTAATCAATATCGGTAGCTAATTGGATAACGAAATGGTGTTGGGAGTAAACGGTAGTGAGTTCGAATCTTGAAGTGAACATTAACTCTTGGATGCATGTACATCAAACTAACATGTCTGAAATAGAATGAAACACTCATCCTGGATTCCACTGCTAACCACCAGTCATTCTTGTTTACAATATCAGTTTCATTTGTTTAATTGTTTGTTTCTCTTTCTCTCTCCCTATCTCTTGGTGTGTAACCCGACCTTTGTCGCTACCACGTCAACGTGGTGGTCAGGCTTGCCTATCGTGATGAAGCGACCGAGCTATACTGGCTGGAACAACCGTTCCTCAAGGTCCTACCATGTCAGTCAGGTCAGTTGAAGGACGGTAACACTAAAAGCAGCAAACACAAGGTCCAAAGGCGAAGTCGTACTGCTGACTGTACAGGGGTGTGACAGCACCAAGGTGTTTCCTTCAGACAACCAGCAGACCAGCGATGCTGTCTTCCCACAAAAAGTGGTGAGGTTAGAAATGATCGACCCTAAAAATGCACATCTCGCCTTATCCCACGGATATCCGTCTCAGGCGGTAAGGTCTCAAAAAGTACGGAGCTAACACAAAATTACCCGTAAAAAGGTCGTGTGTGACCGACCTCAAGCAGTTGTCCCTTGGGCACTGTGGTCACGCTCTCAGGTCACTAAGACCATCTCTAACCTAATTTCCTTTTCAGGCACCTCCGGAAGAACCCTTCCACTGTGTGGGCAACCGGAAAGTGATAACCACCCTCATACCTCTAACAACACTCAAGACTTAGTGTGTAAATATCTAATATTCGTGTTTTCTGGTAGTGTTCATTATCTTAAATGACCTATTCACTGATGTAGATACCATTCAAGACGGTTGAAAAAAAACTAAGGTAATTCGACTTTTATAAATAATAAGATGATAACTATTTTAATTAAGTAACATAATGAATAATGCTCTAATGTTATAATCATAGAATAATGAGTTCGAATGACTTTTTAAATAACAGTAATAATAGGGAAGTTCGATTTACAACTAATGAATAACTGGAACTGTTCATTTCGAATTCTACCTAATTACAGTCCATAAATAAATTATATATACTGTTTATCATTTTTATTCAACTTCATCATAGACCTACTGCTGGAAATAACTTTCTCGTTGACTGAATTTTTGGGCCTTGATCTCCTAACAGGAGATTTGCTTGGAATACGCAGATGATATAGTCTTATTTGATGAAGATGCTGGTGAAATACAGGTCTTTTTGTAGCATTGAGAAACAATGCCAGAATGTTTGGGATGCATTTCTCTACCTCTAAATGCAAGTTATTGCTTCAGGACTGACCTGCTAATTGATTTATGGGGATCTGAAATCCTCAACAATGACAACTGATGGAAGATGTGCAAATGAAGTGTTTAGTGTATGGTTTTCACAATTTACAAAGACACTGTAACTTTAAACTGACTAATAAATTGGTTATCTCCACAAAGTCTTCGTTCGCTAGACTATAACTGAAACGGGACCCTGGTATCTTTCGCCAAGCTACTGAATCCAGATGGTCACTATTCACAAACCAAACATTCTAGATAACTTGTGGTAAAATAATTATATCAAAGCTTTCCTCACAGGATGTATAAATGCAGTGAAGGATGATCAAAATTCAGTCCTGAACAGAAACGACCGGATAAATCAAACCATCTACCAATGATGTTCTAAACATCTTAGCCGTTAAACAAGCTATTAGCTACCATAGACTTAGTCACTCAGTACATGACGTGTTGTGTGTAACACAAAACTTACTGGTTTTAGAAACTCAATGTGAATATAAATAGAAGGATACAGATACATTATGCACCAATAATAGGAACAAAAATCAAACCAATGGGAGATACAACCAAAACAAAACAAGTGAACAATGATAGGTTCAATGTCAACAAAAACCAATCAACATCAAGGTCCATAGACAAACTGTGAGCAGCCATATATGGAGAAATTCGAACACTTCCAATTTCTACCTGAAGTTTGTTCTGATAATGTTGTTGTTGTTCAGAAGAATAATGAAATCTTCACAATCAAACTATTTAGCTCCAAGGAACCAAACTCTTATAATTGTTACAAATCATTCATTAACTTACCCCATCCTAATAATGCATATGGCCAAAATTTCATTTTTTCTACCCAAAATGCATAATAAACAATAAGGCATAAATATAAACCTTCAATAAACATCCAAACAAATATAGCCAATGAACCAAATGCTTGTAATGATATTGTAACATTTAATAAACTCTAGAATAAATAAAAGAAAGAAAGAAAGAAAAAAAAGAGAAGTATAAAATTAATAATGAAGATCGTAGTCATGATGATAGAAAGTAAAAAAAAATCAGTTCAAAAAATCAATAACCAATCATTCAAACATATTACGACATTATTATTGATTTATAAGTTTGCGTACATTGTCAGGTATATAGATAGATATAGGGGTTGAAGTGTATTAGGTTGGTAAAAATGCTCTCATTACAAAATAGGTTTGATAATAGATCTCATATATTGTCATAATTACCTATGAGGTGTTTTTTGTTGCTATGATGATGATGATGATGATGATGATGATGATATGGAATTCTGTTGTACAAATAATTTGTGAAAATAATATTCTCAGCAGTGTATACCCGCAATCTCTCTCGCAGGAATCGAACCCAGGGCTTTCATTCTCGCGCGCGATCACTTAACCTACTGTGCCACTGAGCCAGGCGATATACAACGGTGTTAATGTCTAACCTCAACCAATCCACGAAGTTGCGCGACCATCTTCCGTCGTACTGAGGTAGACATCTGTTTCTACCCGACACGGATTAGCTCCATTGGTCACAGCTTCTCATTAGAACTCAGAGAATTCCCTCACGAAACTAGTCACTAGTGAACTCAATCAATAACATAATAACCTCTACAACCCTATACTGAAAATAATATTCCCTGTCGCTAGAAACAGTTGGAATGGGCGATGTCCGAAATTTGATATTGATACACGATGTACTATGTACTAACCCTCCAAATGACTACTTGAGTGAGAGCACATGAGTGAATGAGAAAGTAGATTGAGCTATCGAATAAAATGCACAAATACTCATATATATATATGACTCTACCCTTTAGGAAATCAATCCACTTGTTAGTTAATGAATTGCAATTGTCCTTTAGATCACTTCTGATTACCATCGATTGATCTTCTCATTTGGTTACTTCTGACTAGCTCACCACGTTGATAATACAGTATTGTGCAGTTCTATTTTCGATATTCTTTTCTTCAAGTGTGCTTTTCCTACTCCAGAAAACATTCTGATAACCTTATTCTATTTTGATAAAAGTACAATTACTATAACATGGTTGAAGATGAATGATAGAAAGCCCAGCTCATCCTACGTTCAGTGCTAGTTGGCAATTATCAGCAATATGAATCTAGAATTGATCACATTTGCAGCCAAAATAACACAGTGGTAACATATTAAAACTGTGAAACTGGGGCGGAGGGAATTCAAATCCGAATTCCACAGACAACAACAGACCAGGCCTGGAATACTGAAACATGCCAACTAGCATAAAACTTACATAAAGGCAGATTACTCATCTCAGGATAATGTAATGGGATGTTGCACCACCCAGACACTAGTGGCCAACACATTATATCTTGGTCGATGGAATTCAATTGGCTTCATTTAAAAAGAAATTTCTCATTTATTTACTATTTTAATGATTCTGTATAATTAAGAAAATAAACTCTCTATTAACTGCCGAAATGTACCGATCGTATATCATGTGTAAATGTTACAGGTATCATGTAACTGTAAATAATCAGTCATTATGACCGAAGATTATAGCAGCTTACGTGTAATTGAGCATGTTTACATTTAATTTGGTTAAGCCCCTTTGTTAACTTATTTAACGGATAGAATCATCTGTACAATAACAACTTATACCATTATGCCTTTATTATTGTTGTTACACTTGTATGAATATGTATGCTTGAGCTTTGCTCACTGCCTACTCATGTATTCATTCTGCTAGCCTTACTATTAGTCGCTTATTAATTGACTAGATGATCCATTCATTTCCCTATGTATATATATGTAAATTTTGATCCTGTTCATTGATTCGCCGGATTCACTCGTTTGCCTGCTAGTTTTTTGGCATTATTCTTTCATGCTTGCTTAGCGTGCCTATAATTTTGATGATCTGTGCGTGGTGCAATAATAAACGTAAGCAACACTTCATATTTCGCCTTCTGATTAACACACCGTTGGGGCATTGTCTAGTGAAGTTTATTAGGACAAATTATATACGACATTTAAAGATTATATATTGAATACCGACCACCACAAGATTTATACGTGAGAGTTCCATTATCCAAACTATTAGAATTCAGCTTATATGTTAAATATTTAGTTTTATCATAGTTTTCCTTTTTCAACTTCGTTTTATCAAGTTTTTAATTGTCAACTGAGTGAAGGAACAATCCAATTCTAATCTTTACTAGTTATATTACTACACGGAGATTTTCAATTCTTTCATGTGTTACGTTCATGATCTGTTTACCTACCTTTCGTACTGAGGATAACTTGTCTAATGTAGATTAAGATCTTGACGTGATAGACTGACCGACTTAACCAGGAGGCTGGTACGCGTCAGTTCGAAGTGGAGTATAGAGAAGATAACTATTCTATCACCTGACTGACTGACAACCACGCGAGTGAGAGAGAAGACAAGTCAACTGGAACACTACTCGATTTATTCTCAATCCCCATCTGGTTCCTGATTTCAGATCAGTATAAAAAGGTACATGAATAAATAGATGACTAACCCTACCATAACGTACAATAATTAGGAAAATACAATTATGTCCAAAACTGGAGATTAGCGTAGAAAATAGAGTACAAAATAATACATTTAAATTACAATAGCTTTGGAACATAAATGGCTATGGTAGTGTATCATACATCAAACGAAAGCTTATGCTCTGTAGAATAGACTAAGGGCAAAAATAAATGTTACTGTATTACGAGCTTTGAATTAACTGAAATAACGTCACGAAAAATAGCCTCCATAGTTTATCAAAGCATCTTGTTTCTCTGTTCATATCACATGCGTAGTAATAGATAAGTCATTAGTTATCTTAATATCCAATGTATATGAGACAGGAAACTAGCTTGTGCATAAATTACGCAGTTAAAATCAGAATAGAGATGCCATCTTAGTGGTCTATAGGTCAAGAGTTCGAGCGCATGACAGAAGGTCCTGAGTTTGTGTCCCATGTGCGTGATTGTGGATGCGGACTGCTGAGGAGTCCCACATTAGGATGAGACAGCCGTTCAATGTTTTCAGGTTTTCAATGTTGGTCTAGCTTAGATCGATTCATGAATTTAAATATGATAATTGATATAAGCTGATTTTCAATAATTTATGCAACTAATGTGGTGTATGCTACTTATGTCGACTGACATAAGTAGTATATATCACTAATCAGAAGTGGAATGCCTATCAAAAGATGGTTGAAAAGATTGAGCAGAAGAAAACGGAAAGAGGAACATAAAAGAATTGAACATTGGAAGAATCATCAAGGATGTAAAAGACAACTGATGGAAGATTTGCAAATGGTTGTCTTTGCCTGAGTGTTCATTCACAACACTAATTGCAAATTAAATGTTGGTCATTTTCATTGAAAACTGTCATTATTAACTTGTATGATAAAGACAACTTATTCGAAAGTGAAAAACATGTTTACTGATCCCGTAGGACTAAAGTTGAGAAATATTAATTAATGGATTTGAACTCAATGTCCAAATAATATGACTCTGTTTAGGGTGTGTTTTAACAGTTGTGTAGCTGATCTCTTGTGAAAGTTATACATGAATACCATTTGAAGATAGTAAACTTTGGAGAAAAAAACCCTTCGAAGACTCACTCTAACTCTGACATAACAAACATTTAATCATTTCTGTGTATCAATAACGTTAATTCACTTGATATTATTTTGTTTGAGTCTTCCCATTGATGTTTAGCACTGCAATTGATCAGTCTCTTATTGTCATAAGTGCATACTATCCGTATTGCCTCGGTATTGCCTTAATTCACAAGAATTATATGCAAAGATGGATAGTGGCTAGCAGTGGAATCCAGGATGTGCATTTCGTCCTATTTGGGACTCGTCAGCCCCAGAGTGAATGAGGTGCAGGTACATCCAGCTGATGAGTTTCAAATAGGACGAAACGTATGCAAAACAGGATTCCACTGCTAGCCACTATCCATCTTTGCAGATAATGGTAATGTTTCAGTTAAGAGGATACATCACAATCAGACGAATATTTTCATATCTTTTATAGGAACATCATTTTAAGATTTAAGATGAAAATATTTAATGTATGATGAAGTCCGTCTGTTGAATGGTTTGTTTATAGACATTTCTAAACATCTAAACTTATTCTTTAACTCGTCAATTTTCAATGGTCTTTTTTATACAAGGCGTTTGAATTCAATTTATTCCATGTAATATACTGACATTTCAATATGTTGTATTATTACAGACTATCTCGGTAAAATATGAGAACTATAAATTGAATACTTCATTTGCGAATTTCCATCATTTGTCCCTCATACTCTGTATGATTCTTTCAGATCACAATTCCTTTCGATTTCCCCTTTTGTTCAATTCCGTCTTCTTAGCCTTCTGCTGCCATCCATTCAACTTTTGATTAGTGTTGCATACTACTTATGTCTGTTGACATGATCAGCATACATCACAATATGAGTTAATCATTTATCGTGAATATAAACTTGATATCATAGAGTCGGCTCTTCCTCTCGAAATGCTCTCAAATAACCACGTGCATTCAGCCACTGACAGGGAAGTACTACTTACATCCTTCTCCTACCAGGGTCGTTGTTTACAAAATTGAGAGGACGAAAAGTGAATGTCCGACGATTTAACCGGGTTGGTGGATAGGAAAGATTTATCTAGGGGAGTTGGAAAACCCTCATTTCTAATCAATGGTGCACATGGGCTCCAGGATTCTGAGGGAACAAGTGGCTTATGAACCAATTGTAGGTCACCAGCTACCGTGTGCATCCATCTCCTAATGTTGCTCCACTGTCTTATGGATCAGACCTTAAGGCCGAAGGCTTCGGGTCTTGCCTCCTAAGAAAAGCACCTGCTTCGGTTATGGCACCCGAACAATATTCCAGACCCCGAATTTTAATTATTTTATAATTTTAAATTTTATACGTCTCAAAATTGA